TGAAAACATTCTCAGATAGACAAAATTTGAAACAACTTCCAACTCCAGACTAGCTTTTTAAGAAGTTCTGAAGGGAGTGCTACACCAGGAAAAATAAAAAGTCAGACAAACAGATATAAGAGAACAAAAAACAACCAAGAAAATGGCTCACTTAATAGTACGAACATGTCTGGAAATATCAATAATAACATTGAACATTAATGAATTAAATTCTCCAATCAAATATACAGACTGGCTGAATGGATTAAAAAAAAAAAACCATCTGTTGCCTACAAGAAACACATCTTATGGATAAGGACATACATAGACTAAAAGTGAAGGGCTGAAATAAGACATTCCATGCAAATGGAAATAAAAAAAAGGTGGGAGTTGCAATACTGATTTCAGACAAAATAGGCTTTAAGACAAAGACCGTAAAAAGAGACAAAGAAGGGCATTATATAGTAGTAAATGAACTAATTCATCAAGAAGACATTAGGCTTATAGATATCTATGCACCCAACTCAGGAGCACCTAAATACATGAAGGAAAGACTGCAGGCCTAAAAAAAGAGATAAGTTGCAACACTATAATTGCTGGGGATCTCAGCACCTCATTATCTCCTTTAGACAGATCCTCTAGGAAAAAAAAAATAAGCAGAGAGATACAGGACCTAAAGGAAACTATAAATCAAATGGGCTTGACAGACATCTATACAACATCTCACCGTAAGACCACAAAATGTACATTTTTCTCACCCCTTTTCAAAGACTGACCGTATGATAGGACACATTTCAACCTTTACAGATTCAAAGGCATAGAAACTTTATCCAGCATCTTCTTGGACCACAATGGGATTAAACTTGATATTAATTTCAAGAAATATCCTAAAAAATACACAAATACATAGAAACTGAACAACCTGCTTCTGAATGACTTCTTAACTACTGAAGAAATTAAGTCTGAAATAAAAAAATTTATAGAAACAAATGAGTACACAAGTTTCCATAATCTATGGGACACTGCAAAAGCAGTCATAAGAGGGACATTCATAGCAATTAGTGCACGTAAGAAAAGGATGGAAAGGTGGCAAATAGATGATCAAACATCATGCCTCAAGGAATTGGAATAAAAACAGCAACAAAAATCTCCAAAAATGACAGACAAAAAGAAATAATAAATATTTGAGCTGAAATAAATGAAATAGAAAATAAGTGACCTATACAGAAAATAAATGAAAGTAAAAGCTGGTTCTTTGAAAAGATAAACAAAATCGATACATCACTACCAAGACTTATTAAGAAGAAGAGATAAAGGAACCAGGTGAATCAAATTTGCAATGAAGCAGGCAATATAACAACAAAGTAGAAATACAAAACATCATTAGAGGATACTATGAATAACTATATGCCAAGAAACAAGACAATCTGGATGAGATGGGCAAATTCCTGAACACATATAATCTACCAAGATTAAGCCAGGATATAAAAAGTCTGAATAGGCCCGTAACAAGCCAGGAGATTGAATCAGTAATAAATAATCTTCCAACAAAGAGAAGCTCTGACCCTGATGACTT